TGGGTGTGGGTGGGTGTGGGTGGGTGTGGGTGGGTGTAGGTGGGTGTGGGTGGGTGTGGGTGGGTGGGTGGGTGTGTGTGTGTGTGTGTGTGCGATCCTGGCAATGGCGTTTCGGCGCGGCGCATGTTTCGTGGTCGCCGATTTAATTGGAAATGCGGCCGCCCGAGAGAAGAATTGCCTTCTCGCCGCAACTCCACGCTAGGATCTTCTGAAGTTCCGCTCCTGCTCAGGCGCTGCCCGCGTTTTTTCTCCCCTTCGCCAATTCGTCGGATGCGGGACCGCGCGCGAGTTGTTTCCGTTCGCTCGGAGGGAACGCGCTCCAGTCCCAAGGCCCAGCTCTGCCACCTTTTGATTATCATCCGGCTGCGCTGCCGCGCGATGCCGCCACCGCGTTCGGGCGGGCGCTGGCGGGGGGGGGGGCGCCTGTGTCAGGATGGAAAAACACAGACAAATAATCGACGATTCCCATGCACATATGGAAATATGGGAAGCGGAGGGGAAGACGAAAGACCACAAAAGATAGAGATGCATCGAATCTTGGGACTTGTATCTGTTTACGTGTGTCCTTGGTCCCCTTCGCTGCGGGACGGGGGTGGGGGCGGCGGGCGGGCGCTGGCGGGCGTTGGGGGGGTGGGGGCGGGAAAGGGTGCCGGGTGCCACGGGGCGTCGGTGCCCGCACACTTTGGTTTGGGACCCCTTCCAGTTCGGAGTGCGGGAGCGCACGAGCTCTGTCAAAGGAGCGGGCGCATCTTAACCTCGATGCGTCGGGGGGGGGGGCGACTGATCCTGCTCGGGGAGGCGAAGAGCGGACAGAAGAACAACACTGGCCCGCGCGGTGGCGGATGTTGGGGGGGGGTGGGTGGGACTGGGCGGGGCCCGCGGACTCGCTCTGCTTGGCTACCTCACGTTCGTGCTCATACTGCTCCTAACCCACCGCCTCTCCCTCCCCTCCCCCCATCCGTACTCCTCCCCTCGAAGAAAAGATGCGTGCACATGAAACTTGCGAACGTCCGCCGCCGCAGGCCTGAGTCCCCCCCTGCTCCCTGGTCCCCACTTGACTCGTTCCTCGCCCAGTCTTCCTCCCCGTGCTGCGTCTCTCCCCCTGCCACCCTGCCTCCTCTCCCCTCCTGCTCCTGCTGCTCCTTCCGCAACCAGCACAGCTCAAGGCCACGGCACGGCCAGGTCCGGGCCCGGCCCCGCCCAATGCGGCTGAGCCAGGACGGGTGCGGCGACGTGGGGGTCGGGGGGCTCGCTGAGGTTCGGTTCGCTTGGGCTCCCGATGACGAGATGTTCAGGTCGAAGCAGAAGAGCTGCATCAAGTTCGACCCGGTCCTGATCTCGTGGCCCCGCGGCGTCGGGCCCGCCGACGAACCCCCCAGCGGCGAGGAGCCGCATGGCGGCGGCCAGAAGCCTGGCGCCTGCGCCGCCTCCGACTGCACAGCCAGCGCATGCCTTCCGGGCCTCGTCGAGGACACCGGCGACGTGTGCGGAGGCGGTTCCCCAGGCGTCCTCCCCCTTGCCAGAGAGGCCAGTCCGAACCCGGAGCCCGAGTACGCCGCTGTCTTCCCCGAAGCGGACACCCTGGAGGGGTGGATCTCCGGCGCCGAGAGGTGGATTGCGGGTGGTGGCCAGACGGGCGTGCAGGAGACGCGGAATCTCAACTGTCAAAAACAAAAAAATGTTCCGAGGTCCTCGCGGATCTCTTGGATCGGCGGTGGACCCCCTCCCTGGCGCGCGGAGCGCGCCGTGGCCGTTCTGCTTATGTTCATCCTGTTGTTTTGGAACGGCTATGTCTATGTCGTTTACTGTTTGGGATTTGAATGTGTCGCGTTGACCCCCCCTACAAAACCGGACCCCCCTCCAAATGCGACCTAATATTCCTGACTCCCCTCTTCGACGGGGCGCTTTGATAAACCGGACCCCCTGAGCTCCAATCCAAAGCAAGCGCCCTCATGAACCGGACCCCCCCCAGATAATGGAGGATGACGATTAATAAATGACCGGGGGTCGTGTTCACGCGGCGGCGCCCGGGATGACGATTAGAAAAAACCGGCCGCGGGCTTGAAAACTATGTTTTAAATCGTTCTCCTCCAGTCAGAAAATTGTGCATAAATAACAGAAAACAATGTTTTAACCGTTCTCTTGTATTTTTTAATTAATCGTCATCCCCCATTGCAAAAAAGGCGCCCTTACAAAAACTGGACCCTGGGGACGATTCATGAGGGATGTGGAGCAGGCTCTGCCGAAGAAGTCCTCCTTCGTCCGTGGGAGAGCCAGGTGGGCGCCATCAGGGATGTGGAGCAGGCTTTGCCGACGGAGTCCTCCTGCGTCTGTGGGAGAGCCAGGTGGGCGCGTGGTCCTCCGCCCCCGGGCGTTCCTCGGGACTCCTCGGGGTCCCTCTCCGGGCTCGTCGGCGCTGCTCCCCGGCGTTTGGCTCGGCAGTGGCGGCCCCTGGCCTTACGTCGGGCTTGCCCCTCTAAAGGATGAGTAGTCAAAAATAGTCAAAACATAGTCTGGGGACGATTTTTTGTATCATTTCTTATCGTTTTGGGATATGATGAGGGTGTTTTTAATTCTTCGTCCCAAATCCGCCTGTAGGGGGACACGCCCGACCTAACCCTGGTCTTGCCCAGGGCTCCTCCTCGGCGTTGCTTGGCAGTGCCAGTCGATGCCACGCAAAGCCAAGCAACGCCATGTAGTGCTAAGCAATTCCGAGCAATGCCAAGCAACGCCAGCCAGTGCTTTGCACTGCACTGCTTCGCATTGCGCAGACATGATGTTAACCTCTTTGGAAGAAGTTGCGCCGGGGGTCGCGCGGGGCCTATTCAGGGTCATGTGAGCGACGCAAAAAGACGGGTTCGGTTGCGCGGACATTCGCGCGAAAGTTGCCCGCGTAAGGTCGCGCGTAAGCGCCCTCAGTTCTCATGTAGCGTGCCACGCTGGCGGCTCGCTTGAGCCGCGGCGTACGTCATCTCGCGTACGGACCGCTTGCTTTCGTCGTTCACGCTGTGCCTTGTTTCTCCCGCGGACCTCCGAAAGCTCACGCTCCGTGCCGCGTCTGGCCCCTCGTACGTTGCACCTTCGGGGGACCTCGTCTGTCCCCACAATTGGTGTCTTCTCTTGCGCCCGATGCGGACTCGACGCGGATTTGGCGTGGGCTCGACGCGGATTCGGCGCGGATTCGGCGCGGATTCGACGTGTCCGACATGGCTTCCACGCGGATTCGACGCGGGTAGCGGCGCAACGGGACAGACAAGGTTCCCCTGAAGATGCAACGTACAGTCGATCGCAAACATGGATTAAGGGGGCGTGGATTAGCGACGGGTGCCGTTTCCATGGGAAATCGCGGATTTCCGCCGCTGAACAAGGCGGCTCCGGCCGCATTTTGGGGAGGGCACCTCCCCCGATCCAAGGATCTGGCGGCCGCGCGCCAAATCCATGGATCGCTACCCCGAAACATACAGTCGAGCATCTGATTTGGAAACCTGTCCCCGAGAAGCTGGGCCGGCGTCTCTTCACCAGCTTTTGCCGGACAGCCGGCCCAGTCTTTTTTGAGCGCGTTCGCCTCCCCCCCCATCGTTTTGAAACGGCAGTTTGCCCCAGGCCCGTCTCCAGAAACTTCTGGGAAGCTGGCCCAGGTTTCGTAAGTCCTAGTTTTCGTGATGATATTCTCGGCGGTGCGGTCGGGAACTTGTGCATGGCGTGTCGCGCCGCTGGTTCTGGGGCCCATCACGCTTCGGAGCGACACGCCGTCCGCGTCGCGGCTCACCAGCGCCCCGAGCTTTTTCCGAGCTTCCCGGCCTGCGGAGCGGAGCGACACGCCAGCCGCTTGCAAGGCACAGCGTGTCGCGGCGGGCCGCCGCCGCGACGCGCCGAGCAGAAGCTCCTGACCGCACCCGTCGGTCGTGGAAGGCAGGGGTGTCTCCGGATCCCCGGATCCCAGTCTGCTTCCGGCGCCCTCCTGCTTCAAGCCTCGGCATGGTTCTGATGCGCTGCTCTCTGGGAGGGCCTGAGCCTGATCTGCTCGAGCCGCCTTCCTGCCTCACGCTTCTGTATTCGTCTCCCGGCCGGCGCGTGCAGGCCCCTCGCTGGAGGACCCCATCGGGGCACAGCCGAGGCCAGAACAAACACCCACTCGTTCCGTGCGTGGCCGTCCTTCTGGCAGCTCGATGACTGCACGGTAGGGTTAAGTCGCCGCCTGTCCCTCTGCAGGAGAAATATTCAAAAAGAGGCAAACCATTAGTCTGGGGACGATGTTTTGATCATTGTTTGACTATTGTGTTGTTGTTGGTGGTGGTGTTGCTGTTGTTGTTGTTGTGGTTGTTGTTGTTGTTGAACATTATTTATTCTAAAGAATAATTATTGTTGGGCCCCCTGGTGCGCGCCCCCCCTGCGCCGCCTGGGCCGCAGCTACATTTTCATCATTTTCGTGAGGAAGCCTCAGAAAAGAGGGTGTGTACAGGATCCGGTTGTTTTGTTGTAATCCGCTTTCCCTTGCAAAAAACAATAGAAAATGACATTTCTTGTTCTAATATAATCAAATTTCAAGAATCCCTTGCAAAAAATAAGGTAAAGTGGACATTCGCGCGCGCAAGACGAAATCCTTCCAAAACCTTAGTGTTCGCAGCGATTTTAACATAAAAACATCAAAAAACCAATGGTTTTTCAACAAAAAAATGTCAAAATCTCATCCCGCGCGCTCTTGCGGATTCGTAGGAAACCCAACACTTTTTAAACATTTCTGTCAAACGGGCTTTTGCGAGCAACTTTTTCGAACTTCTGCGACAACGGTTGCGCACCTGCCAGGGCCATCATCCCTGTCAAATAATACCATGCGGGACACATTCGTTTTTTCTTCGCGCGCGCACGCCGTCGTCGTCGGCCGCGGGGCCCTGAATAGTAGCCACGGTCGTCCGCATGCCACGAAGTGAAGTGTCCGAACGTCATAGGGCGGGAAGCTGGGTGTGGGTGGTGGCGAAGAGTCGTTTGGAAATTTGGTAGAGCTTGAACCGGCCCCCCCACAAAGTGGGGGTATTGCCCGCCTCCTATGAAAACCCTGGCACTGGTGAGAACGGAGTGTCCCCACGTGCTAGTAATTGTTGTTGTTGTTGTTGTTGTTGTCGGTGCCGTTGTTGTTCTTGTTGTTGGTGTTGTTGTGGTTGTTGGTTGTTGGTTGTTGGTTGTTGGTTGTTGGTTGTTGGTTGTTGGTAGTTGGTAGTTGTTGTTGTTATTGTTGTTGGTGGTGGTGGTGGTGTTGTTGTTGCTGTTGTTGCTGTTGTTCTGCGGATTTATATTTTTCGCCCAAAATCCGCCTGTAGGAGGACACGCCCGACCGAACGGTAGCTTTGCGCCGCGTTGGTTCGGTGGCGACCTCCGCGCGGGCGCCCAAGGTCGAACGCCGCCAGTGGCCCAGGGTCGGCCAATGGCGGGCGACCCCGTGCTCTCGGAGAGCCGCGGGACCGTTCGAGCTCGAGCGGGGTCCACGCGGCGTCTGAAGCCGACGCCCGCGGCACCGCGGCGCGAACCAGCCTGCTAAGTCGTCGGCAAGCCGCGGGGGGGGGGGACATGCAGGGGCGGGCTTTCGCAGAGGCTCGGAAGTCCCCTTGCCTTGGAGAGTTTTTCCTAGGCCTTCCCCCGTCCCCGAAGACACCGACAACTTCTCAGAAGGCCCGAGCGCTTCTGAGAAGCCCTGCCGCCTTCTGCGAAGGCCTCACTCTCACCTCCCCCCTGGGCGCGCCGCCGAATCTGCTTTTTGGGGTCATAGCTCGGGCCTCCGGCGGCCGTTCGGGACGATCTGGGTACTCCGGGAATGCCTTCGGCGAGGCGCAGCTGCTGGCAAGCACCCCGAGGCTGGGAAACCGCCGAGAACCCACGAAAACCCCCGAAATCCTTGGACCTCGGACCCAAAGCTTCCCCCCCTTCGGAGGGGGCTAGGACGAGGATAAATCCTTTCCAGCGCGCTCCAGAACGCTCTCAGAAAGATCCGGAACGCTCTGAGAAGGAAGGCGCCCGAGACACCGTCCAGAGCCGCTGGATCTCAGAGATCCTCGACTTATCCTCACCCGATTTCATCGAACTGGCAAGACAATTACCCACAACGCGCTCCAGAACGCTCTCAGAAAGGTCCGGAACGCTCTGAGAAGGAAGGCGCCCGAGACACCCCGTCCAGAGCCGCTGGATCTCAGAGATCCTCGACTTATCCTCACCCGATGTCATCGAACTGGCAAGACAATGACCCAAGCTGAGCGTCTGATGTTCCTTCCGTTGTCTCGTTGTCTTTGTGCGTAGCGCCCCGTCACAGTGGGCTCTCTCCGTTTGCGTGGGCTTCGACCCTTTTGGAGGGCATGCGAGCGTGAGGAGCGGCAGTAGCAATGAACACAAACACAGATCCTCACCCGCTTTGAGTCGGGCGTGTCCCTCTAGAGGAGGCATATTCAAAGAGATCCAACGAAATAGTCTGGGGACGATTCTAGGCGTACTCTTCTGACTATTCTTGAATATTTGTTTTGGGGTATCTTTAACTTATCGTCCCAAGTCGGCCTGTAGGAGGGCATGCCCGACCTAGTCCTGGCTTCGTCTTCTGATGTTCCAACCTACTTTAGCCTTGATCACCAGAAAGAATTTCGAGCACCAGAAAAAAAAAGTACCTAAACTCGAGGGTGTTCACGTGCCGGGCCCCGGGAGACACTCGTCCGACATTGTTTCGACATTGTTTCGACACGTTTCCCGGTGCTCGATTTGTTTCTGGGATGTCGTCCTTGAGTACGATGGGAGCAACATACAGCCGGCCCTGATTTGTAGGTCGACCCTGCGAAATCAAGGGTACTTTGTGTCCTGTGTCTCGCGACCCGTGCCTCCTGCATTCCTACGGCAGTGTGGCCCTCGGAAGGGTCTTTTGTTGTCCTCTCGCGTGTCCTGTCCGATGAAGTCCGATTGTAAGCTTAAGTCGGGCCTGTCCCCCTACAGGGGGATCTTCGGCGAAAAAAAAAAAAACAGATCCCAAACATAGTCAAACAAATTGTCCAGAAAAATAGTCTGGGGACTACTTTTCGAGCATCTTTCGACCTTTGGGGGGTATTTTTGGAGTATTTTTGATTTGTTGTCGAAAATCCCCCTGTAGGGGGACACTCGGGGGTGGACAGAACCCCCAACAGTGACACATCGATTAGTGAATTGTCCGTTTTCGGGTCTCGAGATGGCGCCGCGGCCGTTATTTTCCAGGTTTTCGCCCGCCAGGTTTGGGCCTCAGGTCGTTTTCACTAAACCACGTTTTACTAAAGGGGGGTCTGTCCATCCCCGAGACACGCTTCGCCCTACCCCTCGCGAGGAGCTCACCGAGGCCTTCGAGCGCCTCGGGCGCGCGGCGCAGCGCCTGGCCGGGCCGCGGCAGCGCCGGCTGGCCCTGGAGCGCGAGCGGCGCGGCCTGGGCGACTGGCCGCGGGCCGCGGAGGCTCGGCACGGCGCGCGCGGCCCCGATCCCCCTCCTCTGCTTCTTCCTCCTCCTCCTCCTCCCTCCTCCTCCTCCTCCTCCTCCTCATCCTCCTCCTCCTCCCTCCTCCTCCTCCTCCTCCTCCTCCTCCTCCTCCTCCCCCTCCCCCTCCGTTTCTCCTTCCTCCTCCTCCTCCTCCTCCTCCTCCTCCTCCTCCTCTTCCTCCTCGTCCTCTCCTCTTCCTCTTCCTCCTCCTCCTTCTCCTCCTCCTCCTCCTCCCCCCCGAGACGATCCCAGACGCCCAAACGTCCAAAAACCTCCTCGAGCTTCGGCCCTGGAGCCTCGATCCTGAGGAGGAACGGGTGACCCCCCCCCCCGAAGGGTGCCCCGGGTTTCTTGGGCTTCGATGGTCTTGCTGTGGAGAGCGTGGCGTTCCCACCAGAGATCGAGGGACGTCATGGGGTCTCAGGGTTGGGTTTCCTGTGGGAGGTTTCTTGCGGACTGGCCCCCACTGTACCGGCTGCACGTAGGAGTGGCCCTTCGCCGGAAGGACTTTTGGGTGCGGGCCCACCCAGGGCCCCCTGGTCACTTGACGAGATGCGATGTCAGCGGGCGCGCTTGGTTCAGGACCCGTCGCGCGTTGTGGCCGAGTTTTGAATGCCTTACACTGACCTTCCAGAGTGCTTCTTCGAATAGCCCTCCAGGGCAGGAATTTAGACGTCAAGGAGTTTAGAGGTCACGGGCTGGTGCTATTTTGAGCCCTCCTGCAAGGTCAGGGTAGCTGCCCTGAGGTTGGAGCCGGCTGGGGGTCGGATAGGTGGCCCATCATTGGTTCTGGCCAGCAGTCAGGGCGGGAAGCTTCGAGGCAGTGGGTTCGGGGAGGTTCTTGACCTTTCTCAGCCTCCGGGGGCTATTTCCAAGCCCCAGGACCGTGATAAACGGATCCGGGGTGAAAAACTGCGCCAGCGGCCCAGGGACCGATTTTGATCGGATTTGGCTTCACCCCCCCCTCAGGACAGAGTTTCTCGGGTCCCAGCCAGTTCAGACCCTCCGGCCGCCTCCAACCCTGATGCGCCTGTTCTGAAACGCAGCACTTACCGTGCTCAAGACGTCCGTGCAGTAACATTCTGCGTGTTGGCTCATGACGCGGTGGTCCGCACTCTGGCGAACGTGTGGCGGCTTGGTCCCCGCGAGTCGATAGGCGAAAAGTTGTCCAGCCCCTGGGGAAAGGCAGAGGGGGTGGCCCTTTGAGGAGAAGGCGGCGCGACTTCTCAGAGGCCCTCCCGCCCGCTGGGGAGCCGTCTGGGCCTTCTCCGGAGCCGCGGGCGGCTCCTCAGGCCACCACCCACCAAGCCATTCTGACCCAGCCCGCCCTAACTTCCCGGTGGGGGGGGGGGCGCGTCGGGGAACCTTTGAAAAAAAACACGTGTGGAATCCGTACCCTCGAGTGGGGACTGTCCCTCTACAGGAGGAGTATCCAAAAATAGTCAAAAAAAATAGTATGGGGACGATCTTTAACTTACTTCTTGGCCACTTTTGAGCAGCATTTGGGGGTATCTATTGTTTCTCCTCCAAAATCCGCCTGCAGGAGGACACGCCCGACTTGACCGTACACCTCCCCCCAAAAAGCCGACCTTCGGGTCTTCGGGTTGGGTCCGGGTTGGGTCCGGCAAGCAGGGTCCTCCGGTGGCGCGGAAGCCGCCGAGAGGCTCCGCCGCCCTCGGCAGGAGGGCCGGCCCGTGCCCCGCCCCCCCCCTCCCCCCTCCCCCTCCTCCTCCTCCTCCTCCTCCTCCTCCTCCTCCTCCTCCTCCTCCTCCTCCTCCTCCTCCTCCTCTTCCTCCTCCTCCTCCAGCCTTTTCGGCTCTGTTTTCTGCAGAGTTTGGAGGTGCGAGCTTCGAAAAGGCACACTGCATCTCCGAGCCAGAGTGGCTCGGGTCAGAGTCAATTTCATGAGCCGCGATGCCAGTGTCTGGTCGAAAACCAAGCGCTGGTCGGACTGGTACAACAAGGGTTGGAGTGCGAGTGGGAGGCTTCCTGTGCCGCCGCCCCCTCCTTCAACCAGACGGTAGAAGTGCGACAGCTGCGGATGCAGGAAGAACCTACAGAACTGGAGCTACTGCAAGCATTGCGGGGGCGATCGCAGTGGTGATGCTCCTGGCCATGTCGATCAGGCTCTTCCTACTGGTGCCGCACACTGGCCGCCTCTTCCTTGGCGCCCAGGTCCGTTGCACATGGGCCCGAAGCAACAACCTGCCCCTTCGACTGCGGGAGCCTCCCTCACCGCGTCCGAGCTGCGTTCATTGGTCGAGCTCAGCAAAGGGCGGGAGACACGGACGGTGCAAAGAAGTGGCAGACAGTTCTTGACAAGGTGGAACCACCTCCTGCGGCTCAAGAACCCGTTCAAGCTCGAGCTTCCAAGGCACACCCCAAGGTCCAGCAGCTTGAGAGAGTCCTGGCCAGGGAGCTCGGTAAGCTCGACAAGGCGAGAGAGTACTTCGAGTCGCAGCAGGAGATTGTTAAGAATACCAACGATGACCTTGACAAGGCGGACGCGGACTACAAGCAGATCGTGGCAGAGCTGGCTGGAGGTATTGTTCCACGTGCGCCAAAGACGCCCGACGGCAACACGAAGCTGCTCAAGCTGGAAGATAGTGTGTCGGGCCAGGCTAAAGCGTTGGATTTCATCGACACGTCCTCTCTCTTCACGATCGACAGCGATGTGTATGTTGTCACCCCCGAGGATCAGCGGATCTTGGATGAGCGCAGGGACACGCGCAACACGCAGTTGCAGGAGATTGCCGCGCAGCTGTTTTCGGGGGCGATGGACAAGGCCAGCGAACTCAAGAAGGCTCACGCTGAACACCTACGTAAGCTCCAGCAAAAGCGTCGTCGTGGCGAGCATGGTCTTGTGGAAGCTGGTTCTGGTGCTGACAAACAGTCTGAGCCGTCAGCGGGTACATCGGGGGCGAGTTCTGCATCAGGTTCGGTACCACCGTGTAGTGATCAGCCTGGTGCTGCTGCTCAACCTCAAGTATCTCCTGATGAAGTCGCCGTCGGAGGAGCCGATGACGCCGAGCTTGACGAACCTGAGGATGCACGGTCAAGGGCAAAGAAGGCCATGGCAGTCGCAGCCAAGGCGTCTTCTAAGGCTGCCCCCCCTGCCGCGCGTGGCTGACGCCGCTGACGGGAGGGGGGATTTCCAGATGCCAGTGCATGTCCCAGTACCAGACTCTCACGAAGTGAGGGCTGAGTGCGAGCAGAGGCTTCGGTTTTCACCTCGGCTCAGTTTGCGCAACTATATATATATATATATATATATATATATATATCATTCGTTTGCTGATGAGTCCGAAGACTCGAGCATGGGCCACGGGACCGTTTCCTGTCGGAGCGCTCTGAGTTACGGCGTTTCAGCCTATCCCGGCGATTCCCCCCAGGGCTATAAATCGGCCAGTTTTGGACAGCAGAAATTGCTTGAGGCAGCCAGCGCTGCCACTTTGTCATATTTGGCTCTCGAGGTCGTGTCATGCAACTGCACGGCTTGGAACACGGCCAAAGATTGGCTGCTCACCACCTCGGCCCATGTGGTCCTCCTGTTGGGAGCGGATCGGATCGCTGAAGCTCAGCAGTGGGCTCTAAGGAACGGGTGGAAGATGCTTGCGCTGCCAGCTAAGGTTACCTCGACGACGGGGACCTCTGCGGGGGTGGCGGTTATGCGCAGGCACTTCGTCGGCCTCCTCGAGCCCCCTGGAGGCGAGGAGCTGGCCCCGTATCGTGCTATCGGAGTTTTCGTGAATCTTGGAGGGCAGCAGCCCGTTGCGGTGGTCAGCTGCTACCTCCGCGACTGCCAGGGACGTTCGGATAGCAATCAGTTCATTATGTATAAGATTGGCGGATTTGTTTCGCCCACCCTCAGCGGCCATGTGATCGGAGGCGAGTTGAACACGGAGCCGCAGGTGTTAGGGGAATCTAAATTTGTCGAAACCCTGGAGGCACAGCTTGTGACCTCGGGGAGCCCGGCGCGTACGTCCACGTCCGAGGCTGGGTCGAAAAAACTATGATTAGTTTATTGTGTCTAGTGGGTTGTCTAAAGGTGCGCGTTCGGTTGGAGTCGACCGCAGTGCCCCCGTGCCCCCCCCCCATGCCCCTGTCACGATCAAGTTCCATTCACAACTGTATGAGCTCAAGGTGTTGGCTTTCAGGAAGCCTCCTCCCTTGCCGTCTGTCGCGCCTGCGGGGCCTTGCCCGTGTCCGCCGAGCTGGGAGAGAGAGGAAGTGATGGCCGAGTCTGTCCTTAGCGCTGCGTGCGCGGGTGATAAGGACTCGGGGGTCTCGCTTACTAAGCTCTATCAGGCGTGGGCGAACAAGGCTGAACGCGAGCTGCGCGGCATGTACCAGAAGGTCCTTCCTAAGATGGGGTGTAGAGGGGAGGTTCCTAAGACTTGGTGGGTGGACATTCACAAGCGAGACCACCGTCCGTGTAGACACCCCCAGTTGTTTATCATCAGGTGGCTGGCCCATGCTTTCCGCGCGTGGCGCCAGGGCAAGCGACCACATCGATGTGTCTCGGAGCGCGTTGATGACGGCTTCCACGATCCCTCTGACTGGACGGCCTCTCTTCTCCACCCCTCCAAATTCATTTGCGACCACATATCTTCTTGTCCCCACGGCCCCTTGCTGTCCGAGGTCCAGTCAGAGATTTCTTTTGTTGAGCAGGACCCTGTGCGCGCTGATGGCCTACAGGAGCGGCTGGATGCCGCGGTTACGGTTGCCTACACTCTCTCGCGCCAGGAGGGAGAGCAGTCGTGGAAGCAATGGCTTCAAAAGGACTTGGACCAAGGGGCGAGATCGGCCCATCTTTGGACGAGACCTGTTGAAGCCTGGGTTCCGTCCTCGACGCCCTCGGCTCTCGGCCAGGTGGTGGCTGATCCTCTGGCACTGCTTCAGGCAGAGGGAAAGCGATTCTCGGCGCTCTGGCTGGCTGACTCGAGTGTGGATGAGTTTGCTGAGGCTTGTGATTTCATTCCCTTGGAGCCCTTGCCCAGAATTTCTCCTGAGCAATTTAGGTCAGACAGCAGAGAGTACGCGGGTAGATCGGCTGTCTCGGTGGACGGGTTCCACATGCGTCATTTCAACAGTCTCTGTGACGGGGCCCTTAGAGTGTTGTCTTGCATCCTTGCCATATGTGAGGTCACTTCCTCGTTGCCTCTTCAGATTCGCCTTGTGATGCTGGCTATGCTCCCCAAACCCACGGGGGGGCTCCGTCCGATTGGGATTTTCACCTCCCTGTATAGGATATGGGGAAAATACGTAGGCAATATGCGCTGGAGTGGGAGGAGTCCCACATGAGATCGTTCTTCGGCGGCTACGGTTTCAAGAGCGCCTCAGACGTAGTCTGGCGCCAGACCCTTCGCAGCGAGATGTCCACCAGGCGAGGAGACGTCGCTGCCTCGGTACTTTGGGATTTGTATAAGTTCTACGAGCTGATCGATCTCGAAGCACTCGCGCCCAGATGTATTGAACAAGATTTTCCGAAAGTTATAGCTCAGTTATGCACCAACACCTACAAGGCTATGAGGTTTATCAACATTGCGGGTTATATCGATGGGCCCTACAGGGCCATTAGGGGAGCGATAGCGGGATGTAGTATGGCTACCACGTTTGTTCGCATATATTACATTCGCTCGTTCTCCTCCATTCATTTTTACCCCTCGACCTCGCTCGACCTCTACATTGACGATATCGGGTTGATTGCCACAGGTAAGTTCAAAGATGCGTTGCGAGGTTTGAAGCACGGCTCGGCTGCAGTATTTAAGGCAGTGGTGGACGAGCTGCATTGTGAAGTTGCTCCCGATAAAGCGGGGGTCATTGCCAGTTGACCCAAGCTGGGAAGATGTTTGCAGGAGTGGCTCGGTAAGTTCGCTGGATCAGGTACCAGTAGCACGGCTGTTAATCTTGGGATCGATGACGCTGCTGGCAAGACTCGGAGGTATAGAGGTCGTAACCCCAAGCAGCGTCGCCGAGCCAAAGTTTTTCAAAACAGAGTTCGTCGTATTGCCCGACAAAAACGATTCCTGGGAAGGTCCGCTACCAAGTTGTCTGTTTCTGGTCCTTTGCCTGGTTTATTATACGGGTCCGAGGTCCACGGTGTGAGCGACAGAGAGCTGCAGACCATTCGTATTGCTGCGGGCAAATGTTTAAGGCCGTCCAGCGGGAACAGGTCTCTCACGGCTGCCTTGGCGATGGAGAGTGATCCCTGTTGGTACGGAGCTTGTGCGCCTATCATTCGGTGGAGCAAGGAGGTTTGGGCAGGTCAGTGTCACTCTTTCCTCTACCCCATCCCAATGTCCGAGTTGAACCATGCTTGGTCTCTGGTTGTCGAGGAAGGAGCCAAGATCACCAAATGGTATGAGGTCTCTGGGCCTGTCCCTGCGCTATATTTATCGCCCAAGAGACTTAAATGGACCATGCCTAATTTCGCCACCATCAGAGACCATGACGGAGTTGATATCCTCCTCACCTTCGTTAGCCCCACCCCCCTCAAAGACCTCGCTCGCAAACGGTGTGTTCGTTTGTTAGAGCGCAGCCTTGCCGAGAAGTGGGAGACGGGATGGGACAGAGTCTGCATGGACATTGTGCGTGCTCAGGCTAGCAGTAAGAAGTATTCGGCACTTGGCCAAGGATGCATTCGTAATCTTGCTTGCAATGGTGTTTGGACCGCCGATCGTGCTGCGAGCCTAGGATATGACTTGCCTGAAGAGCGGCTTCTTTGCCCACTCTGTGGCATGGAGCGCGATACTATGCATCACAGGTTGTGGACCTGCTCTGCCTGCCAGGACGAACGGGAGGAGATCGCCAAGACCTCAATCCGAGATCAAGCGTTGTCCGATCTGTCTGACGGTGATCGCCTCTTGTTCTGTCGTGGAGTGTTCGAGCATCCGTGCGCTGTCTGGCCTGCTCCGCTCGCGCCGGGAGGGACGGAGATCAGATCGGACGGCTTCCCTGAAGGAGAAGACGGGGACATGGCTGGCAAGCTGTTTTTCGATGGCTCGTGTTTCAGGCACCCGATTGCCGACCTCTGTAGAGCGGGCTGGGGCGTGAGCAGGGTCGACGATGAAGGCTGCCTCTTGTCGTCGGTCTTCGGCCCTGTGCACGCTCCACTGCCTCAGAGCGCTCCTGCATCCGAATTTGTTGCTCTAGGCATGGCCAGCTTGCAGATAGTTGGTCCAGCTGAAGGGCACTCGGACTGTTTAGCGGTTGTTAAGCACTACCAGTTGCCAGCTGCGGAGCGTCTCAGCTATAAGCGAAAATATTCTGGCGTGTTTCAATATGTGAACAACTGCCACAATCTTTCGAGTGTCTCAAAGGTGCATGCGCACCTAGACCCTGAGGAAGAAGGCACTTCGGATGACGAGCGTGCGCGCAGGCGCGGCAACGGCCATGCAGATACAGCAGCGAAAGCGGGAGCGGCCAAGCACCCTCGCCCCGCGAACGCTGTTGACGAAGCACTCTCTCGAATGATTGCGATTTCCAAAACTGTTTGCCGTCTGGCTGCCACTCTGCTTCCGCTATGGCCGCGCCTAGACCTGTCAGGTTGTGTGCTGCTTAAAAAGCCTAGGACTGAAGGTGGCATGGCCGAGGTTCCTGAGCATCAATGGAACAGACGTGGCAAGTTCTGGCAGTGCTCTGTATGTTACGTAGGCTCGAGGGCGAAAGACCGCCCCTTGCCTGGACGTTGTTCTGGGATTCAGGCAGCTGTGCGCACTAATCTGGATGTTGCAGATCAGCTTGGCCACTGTGTGATCGTTCTCACTTGCTCTGACGGTGTGGATTGCTACCTGTGTACAGTTTGCGGTGCCTTCTTGCACCGAGGCAGGTTCGAGAAAAGTGGTCTATCCTCTGCATGTTTTGGTAGTCTGAAGCGCCGCGGGCGCACTAATTACAACAGAGCCCTACGGGGCCGCCACCCGCGAGAGCCTGATCTCAGGGTGGACCCCCTCTCCTCTGAGCCTCCTCTTCCTTCCTCGGTGCGGGGCGGCGGGACGGGGTCGGAGTTGGGGGGGGAGACGTATATGATGAAACAGGACAGCTCCGTCGTGTGGATACCGCCCCCCGAAGGGAGGGCGGTGCCGCGGGAACGTCCTCAAGCAGACCTCACTTTTCATCGGGTTCGTCCGATTAGGTCTCTGCTTCAGTGTTGAGCGACGGCTCATAGCTGCGGTTCTCTTTGAACTCACGTCCTGGCTGGAAGCGTCTCTCTCCCACGGGATATTTATGCTTTATGCTATGCGTGCAAAGGCAGCACCGTCACTGCAGGAACTCGCCCATCCTGTTTTATTGCTGGGGCAGCGGTGCGTGGATGTCAAAAAAATCCTCCTCCTCCTCCTCCTCCTCCTCCTCCTCCTCCTCCTCCTCCTCCTCCTCCTCCTCCTCCTCCTCCTCCTCGGGGGGGGGGGGAGCGCCGCCCAGCGAGGAGCTCGCCGCAGCGTGGAGCCTCGACGGCCTGCAGGCGGAGCGGCTGAGCGCGTGCCAGTTCCAGGGCGGCAGCGAGGGCTCCTGCAGGTCAGGGGGGAGGAGGAGGAGGAGGAGGAGGAGGAGGAGGAGGAGGAGGAGGAGGAGGACCAGTGCAAACCAATCCTTACATGTTGCTTCTCGGGCGATGTCGGGCGGGGCCGGGACGAGAAGAGAAGTCCGTTCCGGAGCCGCCGGATCGCGGAGGCCCTAGTCCTGTCCCCACACGAGTTTGTTCTCCTCCTGGCCTCGTCGCACCATGTCGGTGCGATCGATCCGACGCCGCACCATGTCGGTGCGATCGGTCCGGTGCGATGTCGGTTCTGGCCGGCTCGATCCGATCCGATTCCGATAATCCCACGGCCCGATGCGGCCCGACGCTGGCACCCTGGCAGGGCCGATCCGATGCGGTTCCGACCTCGCGTCGATGCGGCCCGATGCGATGCACAGTCCGACTCAACCCGATGCCCCGATTCGGTGTGAATCAAGGGCGCCCTCGAGGGCGCGAAGTTATTCGCGCTTCGCGGTTCGGCTCCGATTCCTCTTCATCCTCCTCTTCTCCCTTGGGAGGCGGCGCGAGAGCGCGAAGTTATTCGCTTTTCGCGCAGCGCGAAGCGCGAAGTTAGGAGCCCTTGTGAATTGATCTTGCAGGTCGTCCGAGCTGTCCGAGTCCATCGTCAAGACGCGGTCGGTCCGGTATCGCACCAGGCGGGACGGCCAGGACATTCACATAGTCTACGGCCTCTGCGAGCTGGAGTGGGAGTTCGACATGGCCGCGCCTGGGTGCCCGTCACTGGAGATTATGTGGGACTCTTTCGGCGGTGATTTCAGCAATGTTTCGCCGAACCACCTAGTACAGCTTGAGAAGCAAACTCACCACGACTTCCACACCGCACGTGCAAACATCGGCATTTCCAAAAGTGTGCTCCAGTGGGAGGTCATCCCGCATGGCGTTTGCTCAAGTGTGTACGTCGGCGTTTGCACGGGCGGCATGCCGTTGGACGAGCTCGTCCGGAATGAGGTTTGCCTTTGCCTGCACTCCAAAGGCTATCTGCACCGCGGCCTCAGCGGGCAGCCTTCGCTGATGCTGGAGCCTTTTCGCGTGGGCGACGTCTTGGGCTTCTGCCTCGACATGGACGCGGGCACTCTCGCGCTCTGCAAGAACGGCGTCCACCTTGCGGATGCGGCTGGCCTCGACGCCAGGCGGGGCCCGCTCTACCCCTACGTCACGGTGGACTATGCCGGTGAGGGGTGCGAGATCCGGGCCCTCCAGCCACAGCTGACCGCGGACACGCTGGACGAGCTGCTGGCGTACACGGCCAGGTTCGGGCCGAACGTAAGGGGGGGGGGGTAGGGAAAGGGGGAGGGGGGTTACGAAATCTGCTGCATGCGGCTGGTCTCGGCCCCGCCGCTGGGCCCACTCCCCGAAGCATGGGCGCCTCCCGGCGCCGGGAGGCGCTGGGAAAATCAGCTACGTGAGCTGATTCTCTACCCTACCTTCGGTTGCAACTCCTGGGAGGTAAAATTCTGATTCTGCCCTGGTCCGAAGTCCGGCTTAATCCCGCTGAATCCCGCTGAATCTGGCCTAATCCCGCTTAATCCGAAGCCCACTGGCGCAACGGCCCCGCAATGGGGCTCAATCCTCGTTAATCTTTCCGACGAAGACCTCCCAGCAGCAGCTGCTCCCTGCCCTGCCCTTTGCTGCCCCCCCCCCCCCTTTCGTTCCCCCCGGCAGGCGCGCCGAGCACCAGTTCTCTCTGCAGCTGCGGCAGCCCGGCGGCCCGAGCAGCGCGGCGGGCGCCGGGAGCAGCTAGCCGCCGGGGTCGCCTCGCGACGGCTGGCCTCTCGCGGCCGGCCTGGCGCCGCGTGCTCGTGCACACGGCGCGTAACTCGGGCGTGTCCCTCCTACAAAAGGGAGAATTCCAAAAAATAGTCCAAGAATCAGATCTGGGGACGATGTTTCTACCATTTGTGAGTCTGTTGTGGCATTTTGGGGGGCATTTTTCAGTTTTCGCCCAAGCTCCGCCTGTAGGGGGACACGCTCGCCCTAAGGCTGGCAGGATCGAGCCAGTTCCGCCCCGAGCGTCACGGTGGAAGGGGAGCCAGTGCCTCGTCGCCTCTTGAGTGGGGTCGAAGTAGACGGGGTCGGAGGATCGCGCCCTGTCGCCGATGCATCGGCGATACGGCGCGATGTGGAGTCAGATTTTCTCCACGCCGACGTCGCCGATGCATCGCTGACGTCGGCGTGATCCTCCGACCCCATCTACGCAAGCCCCATCTAGGACGCCTCTGAGTCCCGCCCCGAACCGTGTAATTAGGCTGGTAGAAAGTGTCGGCACGTCAGGGCCGTTTTCCGCATGTATGGCGGGGCCAGACTGGGTGCGCACCGCTATTCACATACTGTTTCTGGTGCCCATGATCGCACGAGACGATCGCCATGTATCACCTCACGTCACGCTGCGACGATCGCCGTGTATCACCTCACCCCACGCCGCGTAGCGTTTCTTCGCGCTGTCTGCAGCTACGGCTGACCCAACCCGGGCAATGACAATGCTAGCCCCGACCCAGCAAGCCGTTGACGCCGCGTCAGATGCCGATCAGGGTATTAGCGATATCGTTGCCACTGCGCATGCCAAGTGCTGTGCAAGGCGCCGTGATTCAGGCTTCTGTAGTTTCTGATGTTTCTTGCACCTGTAAGTTAACCAGCGGCAGTGCCCTTTGTTGGGCCCGCGTCAGAGGACGTAGGCCGTGGCACCAGATCTACAAAGTTTGAAGCCTTGGGAGCACACAGTTGCCTTCAAGGTTCGGCTGGAGACTTCCCCAGGGAATCTGTCATAAAGGTACACGCGCGGGAACGCGTTCGACTTCGGCGGCGTCGTTCGGAGAGCGCAGGCGGGGAAGGAATGCGAGGGATTCGGGCCAGTCTGGGGCAAGCCAAGCTGCGGCAGGCCATTGCATCTCGAACGCGTCCCTCGCGAGTATTTCCAACAGCTTCAAAGCATCCCTCAAGCGCAGTCCGCGGAATCCCAAACACAACTGAACCAAGCCGACATATCCGCGGGCGCCCACATGCTCGAAATACGAAGCGTGCGTTCTTATCCCTTGTAGAAAGGGGGTTCTAGGGGCCCTTTACGGCCCCAAAGGGAGCTTTTAAGGCACGAAAGGTGCATCTTCCTCCCCCCCGTTTACCACCCCCCCATTAAATGGCGCCCTAGCTGGATTCGCCTCGAGATTCTAATCAGAACGCAACCCCGGAGAGATCCAGGGAGTAGCTTGGCATCGCTCGGACGTGTGCATTCTTTCTCCTCGGCGAGGACCTTCGAGGAGCATCCTGGACCACCGAGCCTAAACAAAAGCAGGCACGGCACCGATGAGATGCACAGGGAACGGACGTCCGAGTGACGGCAAGGCAGCGGTGTCGGTACCTTCCTGTCCCCCCGAGGAGGAGGAGGAGGAGGAGGAGGAGGAGGAGGGAGGAGGGAGGAGGGGGGAGGAGGGAGGAGGAGGAGGAGGAGGAGGATGAGGAGAGGAGGGAGGAGTCAAAAGGGGCCTCGCCGTCGGCGCATGTGCTCGCCTTCGGCGGAAGGGACGGACGTGTGTGCGTGAGATGTGGCGGCAGGTCCGCCGGCGGAAGCGTCGACATCGACGTCATCCTTGCCCTCCTCCCCCTCCCCCCTCCTCCTCCTCTTCTCCTCCTCTTCCTCCTCCCCCTCCTCCTCCTCCTCCTCCTCCTCCTCCTCCTCCTCCCCCTCCTCCCCCTCCTCCTCATTTCCGTCCTCCTCCTCCTCCTCCTCCTCCTCCTCCTCCTCCTCCTCCTCCTCCTCCTCCTCCCCTCCTCCTCATTCCCGTCCTCCTCCTCCTCCTCCTCCTCCTCCTGCTCCTCCTCCTCCTCCTTCTCCTCCTCCTTCTCCTTCTCCTTCTCCTTCTCCTTCTCCTCCTCCGCCCCCTCCTCGTCTGGAGGGAGACGTCGACGTCGACATCTCCGCGGCCTCCTCGGCTGCAGGCCGCCGTGCTGGGCCTCTGAAGTGAGATGCCGGCCCGGAGCCGCCGTGGGGGAAGGCCAGCGGGGGCAAGAGAGAGAGAGAGAGAGAGTGAGACGTCGACATCTCCACGACCTCCTCCTCGGCCGTAGGCCAGCATGCTGGGTGTTTGACTCAGTTCAGATGCCGGATCGGGGCTGCCGTGGTTCTTGGCCGGATCCCACCTGACCCTAGAGTGAGACGTCAGCATCTTCGCGGTCTCCTCCTCCAGCTGTAGGCCAGCGAGCTGGGCCTTCGAAGTAGAATGCCGGCGTGGAGCCACCGTGGCAGAAGGCCTGCGGAGGCAGAAGTCAGACGTCGACATCTATGCGGTCTCATCCTCGGCTGCAGGCTGCCGTGCTGGGTCTTTGAAGTAAGATGCCGGCCTGGAGCCGCCGTGGCCTTTGGTCGGATCCCACCCTGCCCGTTCCTCCACCATCGGTGGAGGGCATCTATCGGCCAGAGGCAGCTTGGCGCCGCCCACCCCTGCCTCAAAGTGAGACGCTGGCACCTCTGGATACATGGCCCAATGGGGATGGGGATGGTTTGCGAGCCACTACCCAGAGATCCAGCGCATTAAAACAATCAAGATTCGCAGTTTTCGGTCCATAGAGGCCCTTGATTCAGCGCTGGGACCGTCAAATAACCACTTAGGATGAAACGCCAATCCCAGGGAGTGGGTCGAGATTTCCAGGGACCCCGCGGGTTGACAAAATAAAGGCGTCGGATATCTGGGTATTCGGACTCTCTGCCATCTGAAATGATCCAGGCACCCCCGGCACGCTTCCTGCGAGGCGCAATTGCTGGAGAGCACCCCGAGGGAAGACCGCCACGAACCGACGAAAGCGCCCCGAAAAGCTCCGAACTTCGAACGCCCTGGTGGCACCTGAGCGACGGAAAAAATTGGTTCGTTTACGCCGACATTCGCGCGTAAGCTGGGGCGTAATGCCTCGCGTAAGCGCCCTCGTTTCCCATGTGGCGTGCCGCGCTGGCGGCCCGCGTCATCTCGGGTAAAACCCTGTTTCTTTGCGTCGCGCACACAGCTCGAAGAGCACACAACGGCACAAACATCAGCTTTTTGCGGCTCCGCGCGGATTTCCTGGATCCACTTTGGGTTCCCTTGGCGGCGCCTCCTGCGCTGCCCCTGGCGCGCTCCGCGCGCCAGGGAAGGGGGAGCGGGGGTCCAGCGCCGATCCAGGAAACTCCCAAAGTTTGTGTTCATGCAGTTTTTCCCAACCGTCCTGTGGTGTTGGGTCTCCGTTTTGAAGAGACAGCGCCCCGCGTCTCCCTCACTCTTTCCTTCCTCCTCCTCCTCCTCCTCCTCCTCCTCCTCCTCTTCCTCCTCTGTCCTTCCCCTTCTGTCCCTGCCTCTGCCCTCTGCGTGTCTTCGTCGTGATCATCACTGGCATCACCATCATCACTCATCTCTGCACACCCCTCACGGTTCGTGGCCCCATACGGAGCTCCAGCGAAGGCCTTATTGGCTGCGTCCACATGCGTCCCGCGCCTGTTTTGGAACACCAAGCACACGGTTCGTGGCTTCATAAGGAGCTCCACCCAAGGCCCCAGTGGTTGCGTCCACATCGATCCCACGCCCATTTCGGCACACCCTTCACACGGTTCGTGGCCCCATAGGGAGCTCCACCGAGGGCCCCAGCGGATGCGTCCACATGCGTCCCGCGCTTATTCCAGCACAGCTTTCACACGGTTCGTGGCCCCAGATGGAGTTCCGCCAAGGGCCCCAGCGATTGCGTACACATGCGTCCCGCGCCCGTTTCGGCACACCCCTCAGACGGTTCTTGGCCCCATACGGAGCTCCACTGAGGGCCCCAGTGGTTGCTTCCACATGCGTCCCGCGCTTATTCCGGCACACCCTTCACACGCTTCGTGGCCCCACAGGCAGCTCCACCGAACGTCCCAGTGGTTGCGTCCACATGCGTCCCGCGCCTATTCCGGCGCAGCCTTCACTTGTTTCGTGGCCCCATGCGGAGCTCCACCGAAGGCGCCAGCTGTTGTGTCCACATGCGTCCCGCGTCCATTTCGGCACACCCCTCACACGGTTCTTGGCCCCATACGGAGCTCCACCGAGGGCCCCATTGGTTGCGTCCACATGCGTCCCGCACCTATTCCTGCACACCCTTCACACGCTTCGTGGCCCCACGGGCAGCTCCACCGAACGACCCAGTGGTTGCGTCCACATGCGTCCCTCGCCTATTCCGGCGCAGCCTTCACATGTTTCGTGGCCCCATAGGAAGCTCCACCCTAAGGCCCCAGTGGCTGCGTCCACATGCGTCCCGCGTCCATTTCGGCACGTGGCTGCGTTCACATGCGTCCCGCGCCCATCTCCGCACACCCCTCACACGGTTCGTGGCCCTATCGGAAGCTCCACCCGAGGCCCCAGTGGTTGCGTCCACATGCGTCCCACGCCCATTTTGACACCCTCACACGCTTCGTGGCCCCACAGGCAGCTCCACCGAACGTCCCAGTGGTTGCGTCCACATGCTTTCTGCGCCCATGTCGGCACACCCCTCACACGGTTCG